TGCCATTTGCCAGATTAGCTCAGATCAGATGCCAGGATAAAAATGTTTCATATTAATAATCTTGTGGTGTTTGTTTTTCAGCCGTACCGTATTTTTAACACCTGGATGGGAGACCCGTCCAAGAACTTGTTCCTGGTTGAGGTTCTTAACGTAATCCGCAGAGAGAACCTCCTGGAGGAAGTGACCCGCTCTGGGAAGGCTCTGCTGAATGGCCTCTACGAGCTGCAGGTACTGCAGACCACCGCTCACAGCAACGCCGTTCACAGCAATGCCGCCAACCTCTGAAACAATCACTTTATTTCAGTCATTTTATGCTAATAAAATGACTGAAATCACTTTAAGTCTTACACTTTAAGTAAGACTTAAAGTGTAAGTCTTACTTACACTTTAAGTGCAATAGATTACCTAGATAGAAGAACAAACGTGCCTTGATATGAATGGTTGCCATTCATAGTTCTTTGAACTTTTCCACACTTTCCACATTAAAACCAGACATTTCAGTGTACTTTATTGAGATTTTTAATAAAGGGCCAGCACAAAATAGGTGGAGCTGCAGTAAAATGATCCAGAGTTTTACATTTTCTCACAAATAAAAGTCTGAAAAGTGTGGCATTCATTTCTTGAACCACATTTTGCTGTGGTTACATCTGCAAATCTTTTGGGATCTCTCACTATAAGCTCAGAATCTTGGAAAAAAAAAATCTAAAAATTGAAATGTTTGTGAATACTTTAAAGTTAAGGTATACTTTAAGGTAAAGCTTAATTTTAAAAGGTAAGCTTTACCTTTTAAAATTCAGAAAAATCTTCAAAGTGAATGATTTGAAGTATTTAAAAAATCCTAAGGAGCTGCAGTAGTTCAGACTGTTGGTGTTTTTATAATGTGAATGTCTGTGATAACGAGCTAACCCTCCACCCCCCTCCAGGCTCAGTACCCCGGCCTGCTGAGCCGAGCTCGAGGACAGGGGACGTTCTGTGCCATTGATGTGCGGGACGCTGCCACGCGAGACAGACTGCTGTTGCAGGCCAGAGACAAAGGTACATTTTTCTTGAAATGGTTCCATAATGTAGGAAGAATGTATTTCTGGATTTAGTAGCAGATGTTGGTTGTGTCACTTCCTCTGTGATAGTGCTAGGCTTGTTTTGGTGTCATTTATAGGCTTAGATGATTAAGGTTTGACAAAACAAGACTTGATGTCAGTTGAACAATTCATTCACTTAACCTCCTGTAAACATCCACATCAGGCCAGCACCACCATGCTGATCCCACAGGGGTTCAGTTTGGGTCGGTCCGTCTTCTCCTCCAGAGGTAGACTGATAAACCGCCATGTGTTTAACTTCTTGGAGGACAGTTTGAGTCTAAAACGTGGTGTTATATGATCCTAATACAGAATCTCCTCTTTCTTCATCCCACATCATCACACTGCCTCCACCAAAAGTAGCTTGAAAAAAAAAAAGTTTTTTTTCATGGGCATAACCCACAAATTTAACTTTCCTACTAAACCAAATTCACATGCAAAGTTTAAAATAAAAAGTAAAGAATTTCAAACTAAAGCGTGTTTTTATATCTATGTTGAAGCTGTGTAAAGAACAGGAGGCCACAGTAACAGTAACCGTGTTTGTCGCCAACAGGCATGCTCCTGGGAGGATGTGGGGACCAGTCCATCCGTTTCCGTCCTGCTCTCGTCTTTAAGGAGTACCACGTCCACATCTTCCTCAACATCTTTAACGACGTCCTGGCTCAGAACAAATAAAGGCCGTGCCTGATGGAACTGAGGCAGAACCTACATAGGACAGATTTAGGGAATCCGGCTGTCGTGATAAGCACAGAGAACATGTTTCCTACAAATTTTCTGTTTAAACATCCAGAACCTGTTGGGTTCATAACATTTAAAACTGCAATTTTCCTTAGATATTACAGATAACTACATTCTTTTACTCGTGGAGCCATGTAGACAGAGCCAGTAAGCCATGCAGAGTTTAGACCAGAGGATCGATCCATTTTCAAAATGAAGATGCTTCCCTAAAATAAATCAGCTAAGAGATTCTTTGTCATTCAGCTGGGTTCATGTTGGCCCACAGAGACTGATCAGGCTGTAAGCAGACTGGATGAAGTCACAGCAGACCCCCAGCTGTTCCCCAGAAATCCAAAGTAAACCACTCTGCTTATTGGCCACCTCAGCCAGGCGGTGTTGGTGAAGCACATGAACATGATTTCCACCACGCAGCTGTTTCACATCCTTTTAGTTAGCATCCAGCTCTAACAGCTCAGAAACAAATTTGTCTCCCGTTCACCGTTTACTCCATGACCGTTCTGTGTCGTCAGTTTTGGGGTTCTGGATCTGATCTTCACCTCGTCTAGAGAACAGCGTCCGCTCTACAGGAAGACGCTGCAGAATGTCTGCAAATATTTGAATAAGGATGTGTGCGATCCTGTAACAAACTCCAAGCCCTAGATGATAATGTAGCTGCATGATAATAAGACTGTCCCCATCCTAAGCATGAAGAACCAAAATATTTAGTGTGCTAGAAGAAAGGCTGAATATGATCCTGAATGCAGAACCCTGACGGTGAAAAGCAAACCAGCAGCCTGCATGTGGTTTAACGCTATCCTGTCTGGGAATGAGTCTGTTCAGCCTTGTAGACAAACCTGAATCCTGACACACTACGACAGTGTCTTAGGCTGCTTCAATATGCCCATATTATTTAATTTATGTGTCCCTTGACGACTTTTTCTATTTAATATTTCTTACATCAAACTGTAAGAGTAAAACTGACTTCTCATTTAATCAAGATGTCACAGATATTCCAATGATTCAAACTTTTCTAAGCACATTAAAAGGCAGAGTTGCCTTGTTTAAAGATTCTCTACTTTTTTTTTGGTTTGTTTTGATTACAATGGTTAATGGTGCAAGTTCTGTAAGAAAAGCTTCTTACTGTGGCTTATCTGCGCATAATCTACATGTGTTCAGAGAAATGCATGCTGGGTAATTCTTATATCAGCAGAAAAAGGTGAACATGTTCAGGTGTGATATCTGTAGCTTACATGATGGACAATCTCCCCAAACAGCACCAGCCATGCAGTGGCCACTCCACTGCAGACGTTTGTTTTTCCTCTAGTGGCCACAAGAGGCATACTAGAGCAAGTTTCCCCCACTCAAACGTCCTTATTATAGAGTTCAGAGGAAATGTAGAGTTTTTCCTGAGGCAGATGGACACAGGGCACAGAGACAGCACAGCTCTGGTCCCTGTTGAGTTAAAGCTGAGAATTTGGAGCAGAACCGTTTCACAGCCAAACTGATGTTCTGTTGTGTCCCTGAATGTTTAATGAAGCGCGTGTTAGGAATGTGAACGGCTTCATTTAAAGTGTAGCTACAGTTAATTTTGTTACTACAGTTAAATTAGAATAATATCCAGTTACATACATGAGTACATGTTTATTGGTTTTATAACAGTCATCTATAAACTATATTCCAGTTAATGTAATGTCTTATATTTATTCCACAGGGTTTGGGTCAGGTTTTGCTAAGTATGAGCAGGCTGATGTGCAGCATGGTGTTAGTGATGACAACAGTGCCCGTCTGTTGTCAGTCAGTACTACACAGAATCCCTGTGATGTCGTCCTTTTAAACAAGTCAACTACTTCCACTGGTGATCTGAGATCTTGATGTTATTTTAGCTGGTTCTAATAACTGTTGTCTATAAAACATTCTGTCCTTGTATTGTGACAAATAAATGCCATTTTAATTAACACCGTGCTTCTTGATTATTATCAATGAAGTTACTTTAGGTAAAACATTTAAAAAGTTTAACATTTATCATCTCTATTATGCATCAAGCATTTATCTCAGTTTTTAGAATTGTGGTATTATTCCGATGAAAACTCCTGAATTTTGCTCCAAGAAAAAGCAGAATATTACAAGATAAAAAGGGTTTTTGAATAGAGAAATGTATCATTTCCAAGAATGGAAAGGACAAACTTATTCTATTAATGGACAATAAAGAGCAGAAACAAACAGAATCACTCACTAATTTCTTCAGTCAGTAACTAGTTGTCTGATTACTACCTCAGAGTTTACAGTCATATTAGTTAACAAACTCGTCACAATTTTTCATAGTATACATAGTTCTAAAGGTATTAGTAACAATTTAAGTAATCCATACAAAAAAGCAACCAAAATAAGTTCAGAACTTGAGTAAAAGATGCTGAACTCTCAGAAAGGGAGGTGGAGAAAGGTCTGGAAAGTCAAGACATCAGCTGTAATCTATCAGTGATTAGAAAACCAGCGTACATGGAGATTAAAAAAAAATCTCCATGGCAACCATCCAGCTGTGCAAAACACCTAGGTGGACCTAGCCCCGCCTTTGAGGCGCAGCTCCTCCTCAAAGCTGCAGTTTCCAAAGCTCTGAGCTTCCACCTCACAGAGCAGCCCTGCCCCATGACTGCCCTACTCAGCTCCTTCAGACTAACAATTAGAAAACACCTGGTGGAACTGTGGAAATGCTGAGTTCATTATAGGAGCTACTTCTCAGTGCAGTGCTGGTAAAAACGTTGTTCAAGGGTTAATAGAGGAGTGATGTTGTGATGACTTCTTAAAGGTGGAGTTTCAGAAAGACCCGGAGCTTTTAAAATGACAAAGGCCCAATTACATGGAGCTAAATTACTCAGTAACATTTCATTTAAGTAATTTTTTTATATACATAGCATTAAAAAAAGAAAAGAAAAAAAAGTTAACATAGTTGCACACCATACTGTCTCTTTAAAATAAAAAGTATTCCTGGTCCTGTTAAGCCCAGCCTTCCGGGACAGCGCCTGCAGAAGGTTCTGCGGTGGGAAGTGAAGGATGCACAAATTGGGAAAAGTTACTCCGACGTGGGGCGCGTGACAACGTGGCGGTATCCAGCCAATAAGAATCTATCATACAATACTTTCCTGCTATGTGCCACTTTCTATTGGTTGGGATTTTCTTCAAGGCGTCGGTAATTGGTTAGCCACAGAAGAAGTCCCGCCCCTTTTTCTTTGTTATTTAAAGAAGCAAAATGCCAACGCGTACCTCTGTTCTGAGAGCTGTGCTGTGGGAGGAGGACCGTTCTGCTGCCAGAGAGCTGGTGAGCTTTTAAACTTTGTTGTAGATACTCCAGCTTACTGTTAGCTTATTGTTAGCTTACCTCCACATCTAGTCAAAGATGTCATGGTTCCGTTAGTACCCTACACACAGTGCACGCAGGAAACAAGAATGTTTTCAATGATGATAATTTGAGGCTTTCAGGAAACTGAGACTTTCTGCTGTCAGTGTGTGCTGACCCTTCACCTACCAGGAGCCAACAAGTGTTTTAAAAATGACTCAAGATGTTTTCTGTCTGTCTACTGGGAACTTTCTCTGTGTTCATGTTTATAGCCTTAGTTGATCAAATGCATTGATTAACTGATCAGCAGGTCTGAACATCTTTATACAAACCGGATTTCTGGTAGTTTGCCTGTCAGAAAGATGCAGATGTTCAGTGATAATCATGATGATCATGAGAAGCAGTTCCAAGCCCACCAACTAATTGTGGCAAAGATCAACTATGCCTGGAAATTTCCAGAATAGTTGCTGTTTTTTTTTCCTTTAAGGTTGTTCAACCTGAGCTCTCTCTGTGTAGGCCGCAGTGTTAATGCTGATGCCTGTGGTGTTCAAATCAGAAGAATGGACAAATATGTAATGTTTGGAAGGGTTGTCAGGAAAGGGCTTCATCTAAACATAATGTGAGAAAAAGGTGACCTTGGGATAAGGAAGAATTTCAGGTCAAAATTGACAGATTTAGTGAAAACCAAACTAAGCATGTCAACAAAATAATCCTCTATGCCATCATGTCATGGTGGTAAAACAGGGGGTCATGGGTTCTTTCAGGCGTTGACCATGAAAACCATGAAGATTTTCCAGTATTTCCACAAACATATTAATTAAATGTAGAAGAGAAATTTTTTTTGCTATTTTTCTTCAATTTGTACAGTCTTATATAGATTATCTTAAAGAAAAATGTGGCAGTTAGTTATTTTAGTGGCTTCGTCTAAAGAGAAGCACTGCTAAGCTCTGATCCTGTTTTTATAATCTAGATGTTGAAAGGCTTATAAGTGAATCCATCCATCCAATTTCTGTACCCTTGTGGGTCAGGAGGGTTGCTGATGCCCATCTCCAGTGAACATTTCAGGCAAGAGGCAGGATCACCCTGGACAGTTTGCCAGTCTGTCACAGGGCAACACATAGACAGACAGGACAAACAATCATACACACTCACACCTAGGGAGAATTTAAAGAGACCAATTAACTTGACAGTCATGTTTTTGGACTGTGGGAGGAAGCTGGAGTACCCAGAGAGAACCCACACATGCACAGGGAGAACATGGAAACTCCATGCAGAAAGACCCCAGGCCGGGAATTGAACCCAGGACCTTCTTGCTGCAAGGCAACAGAACTACCAACTGTGCCACTGTGCAGCCCTTATGAGTGAACCAATATGTAATAATTTATAACATTTACAGTGTTTATTTTTTCAGGCTTTGGAATATAAGCAGGAATATGCTAAATTTAGTAGCATTTTTTTAGTGCTTATTAGTCAGAATATAATGACTCTTTATGCGTTGTGCCCAAAAATGTTTAATACACTAATATTATCTAATTGGTGAAATGTGTTCTGGCCTGACAGACATGTTGTCAGCTGTACATTTAAAATGATTCATTTATCAGTGATAACTGCAGCCCTTGTCGTAGCTTTTTGTGTTTTTAATCATATTATCTGTAAATTACTGAATTTAATTTTCAGGAAAAAGTGCAAGCAGCCATTTTTTTCTGCTAGCTGACCAGCAGTGCTTTGGTATACCTTAATACTAGTAACCCTAACAGACCTACAACGGTATTGTAAGGTCAAAGGTGAGGGTAGATGCCTTAATGCCGTGTTTGGACTTTAGCTGAGCTATAAACAGAAGCGTGTGTGAAAACTTCCAGAAAATGAAGTGATGTATAGAGAACCAGACGTTCTCTCATTGATGAGGCCCAAAAGGAAAACACGACTCAAATGAAAGCTTCAGGTTGGTCCTAGAGCTTCCTGGATTGGTGTGGAGTTTAATATTTTGCCTTATTTTTATTAAATAAAATGCTGTAAAAAGTTGCTTTTGGCTTGTGTTCGGATCATATTTCGACCTGGTATGTTCCAGATGCCTGACACAAAACATGGTGTAGACGATGTAGACCGAGTCAACCTGGAGATGGAGGAATATTCAACCATGTGTCATGTCCTTCTCAGAATTTGATTTGCCATATTTCTTTATTTTTCTCTTTCTTCATACCTCAGTCATAAGAAATCGGCCATGATGCTGCTGAGTTCACTGCCGTACCTGTACTTGCTGGCTGCCGCTGCTCTAGCAGTCCCTGCTCAGGAGAAGAGGGTCCATCACCAGGCCGGTCTGAGCGACCACGTCCACGACGACAGTCAGAACTACCAGTACGACCATGAGGCCTTTCTGGGCAAAGAGGAAGCCAAAACATTTGACCAGCTGACCCCCGAGGAGAGCAAAGACCGACTGGCGTAGGTTCTGACAGTCCTGGTTCTGTAGAAAAACGATCATTTCTGTCTTAATTTAGTTGTGGCTGGTGTTTAGCTTTCTTTTATCATTTGGTGACAAATTAAAACGTAAGGTTTCTATGAATATGGTTGATCATTGCTTTGGTCTGGCGATTCACAGCATCACTGGACATAAAACACTCGGGTCATTTTACAGGCCTTTTCATTTCTAACTGAAAATGGAGAGTAATTATTATAAGTTTGTTATGATCTTGGATGGAAATTCCAGGAGAAAATCTAAAGTGCTGACATAGTGAGGTAAGTTGTAATGGTCCAGTTCCTCATTGCTCCAAATTTTGCTTCATTATTTTGACGGTTTTCTTCTTTTCTTAATGAGAACTATACAAAAAATAACAAACCCCCCAAAAATGAGCAGATTATGTGGCTGTATTTTAATCTTAAGTTTCTCTTAATATTTTCCAAATTAATTTTCTGCATAAGTTAGATGACAATGTTTTATATTTACTCTGATGCTATTTTTGAGCAGGTAAACTCCCCCAGTAATTTTGCCTTTTTTATTTGAAAAAACAATAAATATCCTTGTATAGTGCTTTATCAAGTCCAGATTCTAAAGTGCTTCACTCTACAGTCACTTACACTCAGGAGCCACAGCTGCCATGCATCGGTGCCACCAGCAGGCAATGTGGGTGAAGTGTCTTGTCCAATCAGGACAGAGACAGACGGAGTGAGAATTGAACTGGCAACTCATTGATTTAGGGACAAACTCCCACCTGCTGTCGCCACCATCATCCAAATGACATGGATTAATTTTTTTTAAAAAGTTTAATAAGATTACTATTCAAGTTTTTAATCACTCCATAAGCTCCATATTTAGACAATCACAGCAACATAATCTGCAGACTAAAATATTATTTTGGCTCAGTCTAATGTCAAGAAGAACTTTTATGAAATTGATCTGTGTAAGAAATGACCTCAATAAAATAATTTAGACTTTCAGAAATAATCATGTTTCTCAACAGACTGTGTGTGGTTTCTGTTTTCAGTGACTAACTGTGAGTTTCGTCTCCTCTGACTTCGTCTCTACAGGAAAATCGTGGACCGGATCGACACAGACAAGGACGGCTACGTCACCCACTCAGAGCTGCACCAGTGGATCAAACACAGGCAGAGGAGGTACATCGAGGAGAACGTCAACAAGCACTGGAAGGACTACGACCAGAACCGGGACGACAAGATCGCCTGGGAGGAGTACAAGAACGCCACCTATGGCTACTACCTGGGTAACACGGGCTTCCTGTCCGACTTCCTACTTCACTCAGTCTCATCTAACACAGCAATAATCAGCTTTGGTAGTTACTCGCTGAACTGTGACTGAACAGAGTTTGTAGAATCAGTTGAGGCCGCTTTCTGTCCAGGTGAGGAGTTCAGTGACATTGAGGACAAAGACACCTATAAGTCCATGCTGGCCCGGGACGAGAGACGCTTCAAGTCGGCCGACAAAGATCGTGACGGCATCACCACGCGCGAGGAGTTTACTGCCTTCCTGCATCCTGAGGAGTTTGACTACATGAAGGACGTAGTGGTGCAGGTAGAGCTCAGGCCTGACACCATCGAGGTGTCCGTCTCTGAAGAGTAACACCTGGTTTTGCCCAGTAGAATTTGATAAGAAAATTCAACTGATCTGCTTGTGACTGTGGAGCCAGAAACATGAGCTGACCTGAAGGGGCCAGTGGAGCTCAGGCTGTGATGTAACAAGTGAAAAAATGGTTCAGTCGGTTTTATTCAGTTGGTCATGTTATTACTGGTGTATGCAGTAATATATGCTGTGACATATTGGCCTCATCAGTTGCAAAAATGACTGCAAACATTCAAGAACTTTTTTTTTTTTTTTATCATTGTCAAAATCATGGGGGCCGTTACTTTTGAGCTTTACATCATGTTATAATGTTATTCCCTCATCAAAAACATACCTTAAGTGTTGCTTTAATTATTTCATGCCTGCTTGAGAAATCCTTTTTGATCTCCATGGCAACCATTCAGCTGTGCAAAATGTTAGGGGGGACCTAGCACCTTTTAGGATGAAGCTTCTCCTCAGAGCTGCGGTTTCCAACCTCACAGAGCAGCTTTCCCCCGCAACTCCCCACTGAGCTCCTACAGACTAGCCAGCAGCAATGAGCAAAAACCTGGTGGAATTGAGTATCTGCTGAGTTCATTATACGACGTACTTCTGAGTGCACTGCTTCTAAGAACAATGTTAAAGGCTTGAAAAAGAAATATTGTTGTGGCCAAAGGGAAATGTCAGAGCAAGAGTTTTTAAAGAGACAGAGGCCCAAATTCAAGGCATTAAATTGTCTAAAAGTCATATTTCTTTTAGGTCATATTTGACAAGCACAGCATTTTCATAACAACTGAAGGTAACATTGTAACATTGATTGTGCTATAAAGTGGCACCATGTGCCTGGAAAACACACAATACTGACCCTTTAAATGAAACTCAGTAAATCACTTTGTTCTCTCTACAGGAAACTATGGAGGACATCGATAAGGACGGTGACGGAAAGATCAACCTCCACGAGTATATTGGTAGGTCAGCCCTGTTTCCAGTCTGACCAGTGACCTCTGCACTGGAACCAGCCAGTGTTCATCATGTCTGCCCTCACCAGGTGATATGTACACATCGGAGGACAGCGAGTCGGAGCCTGACTGGGTCCAGACTGAGAGGAAACACTTTGAAGAGTTCAGAGACGTCAACAAGGTGAGAGCTGCTCACACCTGTAACATTTTATCATGTCTTAAAACGTTACTGTATTTTCTCAGGATTTGATGTGACAGGCCAACACAGTCATGTATGATTATAACGTGGAAGAACAATTGGAAATTTCCAGGGAAATGTTAAACTGTTATTCAGCAGTTTTAGGTCAGAACTTTGAGTAGGCCATTCTAACACATGGATTTGCTTTGATCTCAACCACTGTAGCTCTGACATCACCATGATGATGGTGTGTCCAAACTATCACCATTCAGCTATGGCAAAATGCCTTGATGGACAGAGTGCTGCCTTCAAGGCACAGCTCCTCCTTCCAAACTTCCTCTTCACATAGTGGCTGTCACCCACCACTCTCCTATTCGGCTCCTTCAGACTAGCCAGTAGCAATTGGCAAACACCTCCTGGAACTGTGGATCTGCTGAGCTCATTATAGGAGCTACTTCTCAGTGAAGTGCTGGTAAAAAGGTTGTTAATAAGGTAGTAGCCATGTTGTGATAACTTCCTGAAGGCAGAGTTTCAGATAGAGCTGGAGTTCTTAAAGAGACAGAGGCCCAGTTTAATCAAATATGACTTAAAGAAGTTGGCGTTTCAGTTTTTCATTAAGAAAAAAAAAAGCTTTTTATAATAGAAGACAATGTAGTTACTTGATAGTGTACCGGTAATTTCATAGCACAATGTGCCTGGAAAATACATATCACTGTCCCTTTAAATTTGAGTTTTTCAGTCAATCTTTTGATGAGGAACCAACCAGTCAGTGCTTGTTTTTGTCCCAGTCGATGATGGTTTTTGTCCCAGTTGGTGGTGGTGACTTGTTGCTACCCGTCTCCTGTTCTGCTGCTGCTGCTGATTCTGGTCCAGTTCTGTCCAGCCAGATAAAATAAGGTTCTGTCTTCATTCATGCTGCAGGATGGCTACCTGGATGCTAACGAAGTGGCCCAGTGGGTTCTACCAGGAGAGGTGGACCATGCTGACAATGAGGCCAAGCATCTGATCTACGAGACCGACACAAACAAGGTAGAGGCATGGTTGCTTAGAAACGGTGCATTCATCCCTAAGTGTGCACTTAAAATGTTCCACTGCACAGTTCACTTTTGTATCAACCCAAACAGACCAAGGAATCAAAGGATCCCTTTAAAGCGTTGTTCTATTGTTTGATCTGTCTGGCTGTGATTACATGACACCAGATTCATATTTCTACAACATGAATTAGTTACATGACTTGATAAAATCAAAGACTTTTTACCTTTTCACTATGCACTATAACTGTAAGGTTAATGTTGTTAAAATGACTGATTTTATTCTCTAGTTGAATCATGGAGTCAAAAGAACTCATTACTGCGATTAAGTTGCATGTTGAGTTAAATGACGGGTTAAAACGTAACATTTTGTTTGGGACTTTGACTTGACTCAGGACCTGACTCCAGACATTAGACTGACTCTGTTCTGCCTCTGCTGGCAGCACAGCGATGTATAATTGCTTAATTAAATTCATTATTAATCAGCTTCTCTCTCTCTGTTCTTCATCCCTCCTTTCTCCTGCTTCCCTCAATCACCTCCCAATCAACCCTTGTTGGATGAAATGCTGTAATCACTCAACAGGACGAGAAAATCACCAAGAAGGAAATTCTGGCCAATTGGAACATGTTTGTGGGCAGCCAGGCGACCAATTATGGTGAAGATTTAACAAAGAAACATGACGAACTTTGATGAAGTGTCCTTGGGAAGTTTGGGGTTAGGGTGGCATAGGGTGGGTTAGACTGGGTTCACTTAAGTCTCTAACGTTTTGACTCTTCATTATGCGGCAGTCTTGGGTAATCATGCCCCTTTATTCATGTATGGAAAGTTTACAACTAGAAATGCACTGAGAAATCAGCAGATATGAGCAGTAACCTGCCGGTCACACACAGAAATCCTTCTCTCTTTTTTTAACCCTGATCAGGGATTGAACCATCCTAAGCACTAGCAGGTCTCTTTGATGCTGTTTGTTTCGGATGTAGTTACTGAGAGAAGACTCAAACTGCTTCTCACATGTTTCTTATGTTTCAAATTATTGCCAACTTTAAGAAGGAGCTGGCACTTTGAGCAGATAACAGGAAGGCTGCACCAATAAAGCGGTGTGTCTGCTCATGTTGCAGAACATGCTGGCTTTGGAAATGCTAGCAAGCTTTTGGAAATCTCAGTGATCTGCATTCTCTAAAGAAAAGACACAGATGGTTGTTTTATTGCTAGTTTTTGGTATGAGATGTAAAAACACGCTAAATGTGAATTCTGTCTTCTTAAAACTCTGTTTTTTAGGAACTGTTCTCTGTGTGATATTGCCTTTGCATGTTCTTAAGGACCGCTCCTGGCAGGAAAGCTACAAGAACATATTATTTCAATTCTGTTTCTTGTAGGGAAACCCAAAATTATTCTTACCCTCATCAGAACTTTCAGAGTATTTTTCCTGAAATGAGTTGAGCAGCTGTCAGTAGATGAGCACATATTCAGCATGAGGAAAAGCTGAACAGTCAACATCTCAAACCAGTCGACTGTCCGTTGATGATACGTGTTCATCCAGGAGGAGTAGATGCTGCTGGTCCATCTGCTGGGATTCCTGTTCAAATAACAAACTGAACTTGGCTGCATTGTTTGACCAGAATCAGATCAGAATGTCTACTTGATTTGCAAAAAAAAAAGTAAATTCAGCCCAATCACACAGACGGACTCAAAATACTTGATGTGATATGTTGTGAATTGGTGCCATTGAGTTGAAAGGTTTGGGGGAAAAAAATTGACATTTGAAAACTTTTATCCTTCTCAAAAACTGGAAAAAAAAAATCATCATTTACGTTACAGCAGTCAGACCCATCTTATAAAAACTGAGCAGTGTTTTGCATATTTTCTCTCTTATTTTGACAATTGTTGAGCTGAGTCTTTATAGTTCACTTCCTTCATATATTCTGCCAATGCTGCCTCTCTGCCTGGGCTGCTACAAAATATTAATATTACAACCAGTCAGATGAAACATGTTGGTAAAATCCCCAAAATACTGTAATCCCTATTCTGCCAGGAGTATGAATAATTATGGTCTTAACTGTATTCCTTCTTTGAACAACAGATGAAATCTGTCTCTGCATTCTGATTGGTGCATCTCTGCTTGTAGCTTCCAGGCGCATGCTACAGGAAGCAGACACATACTGTGTATGTCAGGATGGTAATGCTGAGAAAGAGGCTGTCCTGTCTGGGTTTTTAGACTTTTCTTTTTTATTCACTTGGGTTTTCAGATTATCACACAACACACCAAGGTTGTAATGTCAGGTATGGATTTGAGTGGATTTTAATAGGAAACAATGTTCAGAAGAGAGGAAATTTCTATTAAAGTGACTTAAGTTTAGCTGTCAAGAGCAGAAATTGGGGGGACAAAAGAGGTCAAGGATGGACTTTGTTACAGAATTTTTATAGTTTGACAATTAAAGTCTTTTTGTACAAATATTGTCTGTGGTGTTTATGCTGTATTGTATGATTTTTGTTTTGCTTTAGTTATTCTGTAAAGTAGCTCATCAACCTGTGATGGATGGAGGTTCACTGCTGCAAATCTGAGTCATTTGATAATCATCTTCATGAAACTGGAATAATATAATTGAAAGGTTCATTTAATCAGTAACTCAGTTCACACACAATATAGATTAATTCCACAAACTGTTATCAAGCCTTTAATTCTGATTTTCTGCTTCTAGCCAATGAAACCACATTTAAGATCGGAACATCACATCCTGATCTGTGCTTTTCCAAATAGAGCTAGTGTTCTAGAATCTGAGGTGACCCAAAAGCTTGTGTTTAAGAAGATGAGTCTGACAAAAGAAAGTTGTATACTGTAAAAACATATGTATTAGCATTTATGAAATGTCACTTTTTGTATTAATCAAAAGAGGCTGTAAATGGTGGAAATATGACATTGTTTTGCTGGAAGTAGAACTCTATGTTGCATTAAGAAAGTTCTCAATTTAAAATATATTTCATTGCTAAAAAAAACAAAAACAATTTTCCTCAATGAGTTTCACTTCAGGAGCTCAGGTTCTCCTGACCCATTTGATAAAGTAGAATTATTAAAAAGTCAATTTGTATTTTATAACTGTAGACTGAAAGGAAAGGGCTCCTTCACATGGCTGGTCAAGTAGCACAGACCACAAGGATGTCCGACACATTTAAAACCAAGACTTCAGTGGGTTTTTTTCATCCAACATGTTAACTGAAAACCCAGAACTGAGCAGAAAAATGCAGGAAGGCAGTCAGGTATAAAGTTGATGAGACATCCCAGTGGCCGTCTAACTGAATGTCCATTAGAATGGGTGCGGTCATGTGACCAGTACAGGTGCGGAAAGGCTGAATTTGAGCCCAAAATTCAAGCTGCTGCAGTGTTTAAAGTCACTCAGTCAAAACACTGACATGTTACTGACACGCTCAGGTTCAGTGAGTCACATTCTGTACATTAGTGCTAGAACTCTGAACAACAGCGATATGAAGCTCCTTCTCTGCCTGGGCTCCACTTACACAGAGCTCAGTATGATCAACACCAGGGAGTGTTTAGTCCTCGCTTCCTCTTGGCCATTTGCCATAAATGTGTAAATGTCACATCAATGATTGTCACATTTTCTGATTCCAACAGAGAAACCTACAGTGGGGAAAAAAGTATCGTCACCAATTGTGCAAGTTCTCCCACTTAAAAAGATGAGAAAGGCCTGTAATTGACATAGGTAGACCTCACACAGAGGTCTACTATGAGAGACCAATGAGAAAAGTTAATCTCAATACTTTAATATATCCTTTGTTGGCAATGACAGAGGTCAAACGGTTTCTGTAAGTCTTCACAAGGTTGGCACACACCGCTGCTGGAATGTTGGCCCATTCCTCCAAACAGATCTCCTCTAAAGCAGTGATGTTCTGGGGCTGGCAACACGGACTTTCAACTCCCTCCAAAGGTTTTCGATGGGGTTGAGATCTGGAGACCGGCTAGACCACTCCAGGACCTTGAAATGCTTCTTACGAAGCCACACCTTTGTTGCCCTGGCAGTGTGCTTGGGATAATTGTCATGCTGAAAGACCCAGCCACGTTTCATCTTCATTGCCCTTGCTGGTTTTCACCCAAAATCTCACAATACATGGCCCCATTCATTCTTTCATGTACACGGACCAGTCGTCCTGGTCCCTTTGCAGAGAAACAGCCCCAAAGCATGATGTTGCCACCCCCATGCTTCACAGTTGGTATGGTGTTCTTTGGATGCAACTCCGCATTCACTTTCCTCCAAACACGACGAGTTGTGTTTTTACCAAATAGTTCTACTTTGGTTTCATCTGACCATATGACATTCTCCCAATACTCTTCTGGAACATCCAAATGCTCTCTAGCAAACTTCAGACGTGCCTGGATATGGACTGGCTTAAGCAGGGGGACACGTCTGGCACTGCAAGATCTGAGTCCCTGGCGTCGTAGTGTGTTGCTGATGGTAGCCTTTGTAATATTGGTCCCAGCTTTCTGCAGGTCATTCACTAGATCCCCCCTTGTGGTTCTGGGATTTTTTTCTCACCGTTCTTGTGATCATTTTGCCCCCACGGACTGAGATCTTGCGTGGAGCCCCAGATCGAGGGAGATTAGTAGTGGTCTTGTAGGTCTTCCATTTTCTGATAATCGCTCCCACAGTAGATTTCTTCACACCAAGCTGCTTGCCTATTGCAGATACAGTCTTCCCGGTACAGGTCTACAATTCTGTTTCTGGTGTCCTTTGACAGCTCTTTGGTCTTCACCATAGTGGAATTTGGAGTGGTGTGACTGTTTGAGGTTGTGGGCAGGTGTCTTTTATACTCTTAACGAGTTCAAACAGGTGCCATTGATACAGGTAATGAGTGGGGGACAGAGGAGCCTCTTAAGGAAGAAGTTACAGGTCTGTGACAGCCAGAAATCTTGCTTGTTTGTAGGTGACCAAATACTTATTTTCCACCCTTATTTGCAAATAAATTCCTTAAAAAAAAGACTGTGATTTTCTGAATTTTTTTTCTCATTTTGTCTCTCATAGTTGAGGTCTACCTATGATGTCAATTACAGGCCTCATCTTTTTAAGTGGGAGAATTTGGGATGATTTCATCCAACTTTTGCTGTTTTGCAGACTAACTTAAGTGCTGTCAGGAGTACGTTGTGCCATAATTTTCAGACAGCTGACGTAAACTGCGTGTGTGGTGTGTGTATGTAGAAGAATCCATCAGTAATCGGGAATCAATCACATCAGTTCGAAAGCCTAATATATTTATGAACACAAAATGATATAGTTTCAGTGTTTTAGTTATTTCTATAAACAGTTCCAGTTAGTTTTACATCATTAATTACAGTTTTATTTTAGTTAACAAAAAACATTTTCTCAATTTCAATTTTTATTTCATTTGGTTTAGCAATCTATTAGAACCATGGCTGTACTGTGATAAAATGAGGTATGAATACTTATGCAAGGTTCTGTACAAGTTGACTTAAATGTAAACCCCCGTGTTTTTCTTTGACGTCATTGTGTTCTTGTGAAGGATGTGATGGAAAAGAGTTTAGACTTTAAAACCACACACTATGAAATAAAAATGTGTTGTGTCTGCTCATCAGGATGGACGCCTGACTCTGTCTGAAATGCTGGACAAAACAGATTACTTCAGGATGAGCACAATCACTGACTATGGAGGCATGAGGGTGGAGGAGCACGACGAGCTGTGAAAAAACAACTCCAACTGGACAAGCCTCGTCTGACCTGACAGTTAGAGCCCACCGTTATTTTCTTCATGTTAAACATGCAAACTGTACAAAGGCAAATAATCATTCAGGAAGTGTTTGGCTTAAAAAAACATTTATTTACCATTTCACTCAGAAAGGCCACAGCATCCACTCGAAGAAAAACACAACACACAGGAACTGTACGCTTACAGGTTGCAATGAGCTGCAGAAATCTTCCACAGATGCATCAGGTTTGACATCTCATTGAGCTGCTACTGCCTCCCCATCCTCACATCCTCATGCCTGCATCACTGGACGAGCCTCTTTGGCTCTCAGGTCAACTCCAGAACCTGCAAAGCCGGTTCCACCCTGGGATGAAACACAGACAGCTGGAGCTCAGCTACATACAGACAAAGCTCTCACAGGGAGGAACAGGATACTGCCTAAGACTTCCTCATCAAATGTGTTACTGACTATTTTTGTAACTCAAGGAAGAACAATTAAATTTGATCCAACTTGCTCTCTTTATTGTTAGTAGCAGATTTTTCAGCAACCTCCCAGTCAGCTACCTACCCTCTGCAGTGGGATGATGTCTCTCTCTGTTAGTTTGGCTCCAGACATGGGGTCAGTCATGTCCTTCTTGATCAACTTCTCCACACACTCCTGAGTCACTACAGTTCCTCTGAAAAAGTCAGG